AAGGCCACCACCTTCTCGACAACCTTCCCCACAAAGGGGAGGTTGGAGACTGGCGGTAGTTGTTTAGAACGGCTGGTTCCAAGGATGGTTTCTTCAGGAGGGGTCTCACCACCGCCGCCTTAAGAGTGGGGGGGAAAGACCCCCTCCCATAAGGAGGTGGCAACAACCGCCTGGATCCAGCCCCGTATCACCTTCCTGCTGTTAACAACCAGCCAGGAGGGGCACGGGTCCAGCACGCATGTGGAGGCACCTACAGCTCTCATGGCCTTGTCCACGTCCTCAGGGGTAACAGCCTGAAACAAATAATAAATAACAGCCTGTTATTTATTCTTTTTGAATTAATTATCAGTGCCTTCCTGATTTGGTTTACAACTAGCTATACACGGGTTATAACCTTTTCAATGGATTTATGCAACAGGTATATAACTTGTTCATGCACATTTTAAAATATTTTTGTTAGATTGATATCCTGTTTTTTATCCATAAGCTTATGGTAGCACATTAGCCACAACACCACATAAGGTGTGTTTTGAACCAATTGAGGGTGGTTTTGAATCAAAGCCTCCCCCATTGCCAGTCCAACAACACATTGCTTGTCATACACTTATACATTTACATCTACTTATGCATACATACGTAGTAGCACGTCTGATGAGACAGCATTTCTTAACTGCTTCTAGCCACCTTATGACATAAGTTCAATTCCTGTGAATATGTGCATAGTAATATTACTAGATTCTAAAGCTGATAATGAACACCATGGGAGCATATGAAATCAGTGCAGCAATAAATATAGGAATTCATATAGCTTTTCTCTTTTGTTGTAACCACTTCTCAACACATGCAAGTTTAACTAGATTAATTCTGCTACTGATTTTTAGGATAAGTGTTCAATACAAAGTATATAAGCTAATAAAAAGAGACAAGGCAGATTGTTTGTCCTCTTCCCACAGCAACAACCAGTTTTCCATGCCTATTGCAGAAAAAGAGCATTTCAGGTAAAGGAAATGCCATTTGTAAGTAAGTGCGATTCCTAAAATCTTATGGTATTTTTGAAGTAATGATTTTAATGACAATTAAGAATGTGTAACCATCTTCCAATTTTGTCCAGCTAGATCTACGGTATAAGCATCTATAAGGTTCCGGTGGATCTATAAGTTCCCCCAAAAAGAAGCTTATTTGAATTAAATGTATAGGATTCTTTCATATGAAATGCAAATTATGTTTTTTAAGTTCAAAGTTGATGTTAAATAATGTCCACCAAGCTATCTATATATTCAAGTGTATTTTTCTTCAGTACCTCTAAATTATGCCTGGATAGGTCCATCTCTAGTAGTAAAATGGCAATGAATGGAAGTGAGAAACCACAGCCCTTTAAATAATACCTCCAAAAAAACACCTGTTATCTAGTTAGATTGTAATGGTCACTCAGCTTCCCATTAAATGCCTGTGCACTTGTACCCCTGGAAAGAGGCCATTCTTCTGAGTTACTCTGATAATTAAGGGAACACTTTTAATTTCTCACTTTGAGGAAAAAGCATTCTTAATCACAAAATGAAGTGCTTTTTAAAGTCATAAAAAAAGAACTAACCACCCAACAGACTGAACAGAAATGCTGAGAAGCTTATTAAAGAAAAAAGTGACTGGTATATATCTTTCTCAATCTTGGGTCCTCTGGCTCTGTGTGTGTGTGTCTGTGCGTGTGTGTGTGTTGTATATATCCCATTTATATACTATAAACATAAAATATAATTTTCTATATATTTTTATTTATCAGCACAAATAAAAAAACATACATACATACAAACATACATACATACATACATACATAGTTGGTTACAATGACCTGTTGTCCAGGCATGGCAACTTCTCATTTTGTTTCCTTTCCTTTTATTTCCACAGAGCTCAACTTGCATTAGCCTTCCAATATCAATAACTCAGAGATTTATTTCTCATTTGAGAAGCATGAACAACAGTGCCTACCTATGACCCTCCCAGGGAGGAAGGCAAGGAATCCCATATTTACATCCTCATACAACAACATGGAACTACCATTAATTGCATTTCATCAACTTCCATCACCTAATTTGAACATTACTTCCCTGGTAGGAAATTCTTAAGTGGCTCTAAAAATTGCCTTTCCTTCTCCTTAGCCCAAATACCTGCTGAAACCAGACGGGGAGCAGGACCAGGACCTGCTGAGACATGCCGGGGTAATTAAGAGGGCTCCTCCATAACCAGCTGGTTTGGCCTTCGCTCACCCATTCACAGATCCTACTTAGACAGGCTGGCTGGCAGCCTGACTGTGCCTAGCACATTGATTGCTATTAATACCCGGGAGAGGAGGAGCAATGGGGGTGGGATGCCAAAGGCAGGGGGACGGAAGGGGGCTTAAGGGGCCGGCCCAGGATTTGGAGCCGAGGAGGAGGAGGGCGGATCAGCAGGAATTGAGGGGTTAAGAGATCATCCGCGTCTTCTCGCAAGCCAGACCTTTCCCCAACCCCTCCCTTGACCCACCATCTCACCGTGTGGGCTGCGCTGCTGGACTTCAGCGGCGGCAAAGCGATCGGGGACGGCGGTCCGATCCCAGCGCCCGTCCGGGAAGTTCGTCCAGCCCCGATCCCTGGGGAAGACTGGAACTGGCGGCTGCTTTCTCCTCCTCCTCCCCTGCTCCCTGCGGGGGGAGGCAAAAGACACCAGCTGAAAACGACGGGGGTCGAGCAGGGTCCGGATCGAAGACAACGGGGGGCAGAGGGAATGAAAACGGGCGCCGAAATTGTCCCTTCCCCAGCGCCCCTCCTCTTGTTCCCCCGGCCGCCATGGCAATCTTGTCTGAGGGATCGGCAGGAGTTGATCCCAAACGAGGCGTCGAAGCGGGGCGGGGGGACACCTCAAGGGTGTCCACAAAGGGGGAACTCGCTCGCCCATTAACCCAGCTAAACCTTCCACCCATGCTTGGCCCCCAACATTTCAGAGCCTAAAGGGGAATCCGATCTGGCCGCCAATGGAGGAGTTTTGCAGTCCCCATCCAATCCAGCCTGTCCGCTGCCTCTTGCGAAAGGGAGCGAGAACTGGGCTGCGCTCCCCCAGCCACGACTCCCCCGCTAGACCATTTCTAAACAAAATCAGCGCAAGAAACGCTTCTTCTCCGGCACGTTTGCCTCAACTTGCCCGTTCTCACGCCGAGAAGCTTGTCAATCACGAGAAGCTCCAGGAATCCCTCCAGAAGATTTGAAAACGGGGGTTGAAAGTCAGGCCGTTCGAGGCTACCCGCTTTGGCCAGAGGGGCTTCGGCCGGGGAGGGGGCCGCTTTATCTTTGACCCAGAGGCGTGCGCTCTCTCTCCCACCCCCTCGGGCTCTGCCTCTCCGGCCTTGGGGTGGGAGGAGGGGACCGGGAGAGATCCCGGGGGGAAAGGCGGCCAGGGGGCGAACCCGCTTCGGCTGCGGCTAGGTCTTTCCTTACTTACCGGCTGGGCAAGCGGCGGCCGAGGCAGCTCCACCGGCACTAGCCGCAGCGACACTGGCGGCAGACGGTTTCCTGGTGGTTAACATGGCCGCTGACGGGGAGGGAAAGGGGAATACATTTCAGGGCTGCCGCGACTTCTCCGGATCGCGGCCGCCTCTGGGGTTCGGCCTCCGCGACCGGCGGTCCCCACCGTCTTTCCGAAGGCAGCCGTCTTCCAGAAAAGAGCAGCTACGCCGGGCAGCCGCACGTCCCTCCGCGGCATCCGTCGCCGCCGAGCCCGGGCCCGCCGGGCACCAGCTCTCCTTGATCCCAGCCCCCGCTGCCACCGCCTCTTCCTCGTCTTCCTTCTCCAGCGGTTCCAGAGACGGCGGCGGCAGCAGCAGGAACGCCGCCGCCGTCCCCCGCCCGAAACGCATCACCTCGCCAGTTTCCAGGATCCCCGGTCCCTCCCGTTAAACAACAGCGGTGGAGGAACAGAAAACAGCCCCCTCCGCCCACCCAGCCACCCCGCTTCCTCCCCTCCCTTCGGAGGGACGGGCACAGACCGCCGGCCTCTCCCCACCCCCTCCCTCCCCGTTCTCCTTTTGCCCTCTCCTCCCACGCAGCCGCGCGAGCCCGTTCAGACGCCCCTGCGCGCCCCCCACGACACTTTCGCTTTTTAAAAAAAACGGGCTTGAGGCTCCGCCAAAACCAGTCTCCGCCCCACGGCGCTGTCGGCCGGGAGCCTGTCTGGGCCCTCCTCCTTCCCCCCGAGGACTGCAGCTGTCCTCAGCTCGGATGAGCAGCAGAAGCGACCCTCCCCTCCTCAGAAAAGCGGGAGGGGACCCAGGAAGAGAGAAGGAGCGCAGGCCCTGCAATGGCGATGCTGGAGGATCCTTCCACCATCACCCCTCCCGGGCAGAGGAGTTCAGATGGCCAGCTCCCTCCTCATGTTTAATGCACCCTCGCCTAGAGCCAATATGTCGGAAATCTCAGCCATTTCGGCCTCTAGTCTTGTTTCCATGGCCTTTAGTGCAAAGAGAGGCTTGTCACCTGCCATGTACTCTATTGGTGGGACATAACAATTTCTACTCCATCCAGCTTCTCTCAGAAATTTCCTCCACCTTGGCATTCTTGCAAAGAGAAGCCTTCCTTTTTTGAGATAAAAGGGAACACCAAAGAAAAGAAGAGAATAGGAAAATAATGAAAGATAATACAGATGACACTAAAGAAAGGGAAGAAAGGAAGAAAGAAATGGAATGCTCTCAGGTTATGGACAACAGTTGCCATAAACCCTATTGGGCCATTGTACTTACGAAGCATGGGAGTTATAGCTGAAGACATCTGGAAAACATTAAGCCAACAATCCCCATTTAAGGAGAAACAGAACTGCAAATGCTTTTAAGTGAAGGCTAAGATCACTGAAGTGGAGAATGTATTTGAAAATGTGCTTTGTACTGCAGTTTTTCAGTGATAAGAAATTCTTAGAAAAGAATGGAACTTCTCTTCCAAAATCACTAATCTCACTACTGTATGTCTTTAATGTTCCTTTTTAAAAATAAAACAGATGTGATAGTGATGAAAACAAATGTCTTTTGGGGGTGATGGACTTATATCTCTATGGTTAAAACAAACTCCTCCTCCTTAGAAAGCAAGAAGCAAAACACTCCTTTTGACTTGTGGCTTCTGTGCCTTGCTGACTGCAGATATTTGTGTACGCGGAAACATTTCTGTGCAGAGCAGAGTTCAGAGCAGAAAAAGATGAGATGAAGCTGGTAAATAGCTGGCAGGGGAAGGAAGAGAACATTAGAATTTAGTTACAGTACAGTTTTTAATGAGAGGTTTTCTCTTTTGAAGAAGAAAATGAGAGTGTCAACATAAGTTTTGTTTCTGTAGCCAACTCCAATTTCTACCATACAGAAATAAATGTGCAGACAGTGATAGTTTATGCTACCATGCAAGGAGTGTGTGTTTGTGTGTGTGTGTGTTAAACCAACAGATAACAGCTGTGGGAGTAGTAGTCAATGTAGGGCCAGGATTCCAGTATCAGAGGGTAACAAATGTGTGCTGAATTAACGTCTCAAATGAAAGAAACAGCTGCCTTACCCAGATATGTACAGCATGAGGCCAATACATGAATAGGATTCTCGAAGAAATAAAAAATGCCAACATTATTTTTTTTATTAATAAAGTTTGACCACTATGTAATTTGTCAAAATATGTTCAAAATGCATGTCATGCATAAAAACGGTTCTCACTCAAAGACAATATCTTGCAGAATACCTTTTAAAAGGAAAGATTAAGTCTTGTGGTTCTTGTATTTACTCAGTTGGACAAAAAATGTATATGAATATTTTCATACACAATTTCAGTATACAATTGTCCTTACAGTGGCCTGCAGCTTCCCTGGATTCCCACAGGGCAGCTGAATCCCAAGCTGAGGAAGGCATTGTAAAGAAAGTTCTCCAACTGGGCATTCTCAGCCTGAGAAATGGGGGCAGCCAGGGAGGTTTCAGTATGATTTTATTTTTATTTAAAACATTTACATTTTAACAAATCTAAGACATAATAGGAAATAAAAACATGAACTTTCAATAATGACCTAAATCAAAAATACCAAGCTGTAAGAAAAGAAGATGAAAATTCTTTTGCAAAAGAAAACTTTTGGGAAATGAAAGTAGATTTTGAGATCAATTTTGGCACATAATTTTAAACTATTCCAAAGGCCCCCCCCATTTTTTTTTACACAGCTATTGTTCAAAAAAAATACGGAGACCTGGAACAAAACATTTCAAAGTCTTAAGATATTTCAAGCTTTTAATGTCTTCTGAAATATGTAAATTTAATAATAATTGGACACTCATTAATAGTATCAGAGTTAACCCAGGGTAAGAAGGGCAGCCAATAAATTTTGCAAACAACAAATAGTTGATAATGCTGCTGTCCTCACTTGGTTTAAATTTTAGAGCAGTGTAAAATTTGACATGAGCCATTCTGTTGTAGATACATTTTTTTTAATATACGGAATGATGGCAATCAAACGGACATCAGGTTTGCCACAAAAAGGCTTTATTGTGCAAATTTATGCAAAATACTTCAGGTGCACTAATGTTGAATATTGAGATTTCTAATTTGTGCAACGTTTAAAACCTTACCTATTTCTCTCTAAGGATTTCCTGTTTTTCAATCTTATTTTAACACAATTCCTTTTAGTTATTTTTAGGTTTTAATCTTGAAACTTTTTCTGCATAACAAGTTTATGCTGCTGGAACATTTCTTCACTTCATCCCTCTTGTTTCTTACTCTTTGGTTGTTTTTGACTTCTGTTACCATTTTCTTAACTCATTCACAAATATCTTGGATTTTTATTACTTTTGTTATATCTTGTATATATTTCTCCTCCCAAAGTCACTTGCTCTACTTCTTCCTTCAGGCTTCTGGGTTTGGGTTTAGTTCTTACAAGATGAATGACTTCTATATTCTACTGTTCCTCAGCTTTCATCATTCTCTAAAAAGCATCTGTGGGAATTTTCATCCTTGCTGTAATTCTAGCCCATTGTAAGATTTTGCACAGCTGTTTAATGGCCCTTTTTTTGTTTGCCTCATTGTCACCAAACTTAATGGACTATAAATGACAAAGCTCTCCTTTGAATCTCTACTCTTCAAGTCATCTTTTGCCTGGCACTTTTGATCTGCTGGGTTGCTGGTTACAACTTCTCTGCTCCTGTTCTCATCTGCAGTTACACATACTCCAACAGCACTGTCCTCCAGCTCAGCAGTTCATCATCATTCATCTGAAATGTCTTCTGAGTCTTGAAGTGATTACTTTCTATGGGCTTTATGACTTCTGACCTCTTTTTCCTTTTTCCCAGCAGTGATCTCTAACTGCCTTTGTGATGCTCTATCAGCAGCACCTTCTCTAACCAACAGCCCCTCTACTCTACTTGGTCTCAGCTATCCCTATTTAATACTTCTCAGCTTTGCTGAGATATTTCTCAGTTTGCGAGATATGCAGACATTCACAAGTGACTAACAACTTTAATGATAGACCAGCAGGGACTGCTTTCTGATAACCCTCAAATTAGCTATGCTGTCTCAGAATATTCTTTAAAAAAAAAACCTACATTTGGAGTTTGTTCTCCATATAAATGTTATATAAATCTCACACTCTGACCATAGTGCAAAATCATATCCACATGAAAAAGGAGAGGTTTTCTTACGTAGATTTTCCCTATTTGCAGATTTGAAAAAAGATTCATGTACAATATGCAGTTCACAGCAAAAGACAAAGCAAAGTAAGAAAGAAAAGATAAAAATATTAAGACATGTGCATATGATATTATCTATCTATCTATCTATCTATCTATCTATCTATCTATCTATCTATCTATCTATCTATCTATCTATCTATCTCTATTTATCTGTTGGTCTGTCTTCCGGTCTGTCTGCCTGATATGTGCTTCCCATCATATCAAGAGGTGACTTATTTGTGACTGGTTTCCTTTGTAAAGGATTATGTGAGGCTTTAAGCATCTATTCATATATGGAATATGCAGCCCCTAAAAAGCAAAGAAATGGTCATAAGAAGAGTGGATAGCTAGAACTGTAAATGTTCTTATTGAGGGTATCACATGCAGTATCTACCAAATGATATTTTGTGGCATTTGCAGTACAGAATGTGATATTCCAGGAAACATATAGCAATAACTTTGATAGATGTGTAAGAACTGCAGCATCCTTTCAATCCCCACTAGGAAAATGTTATATTCCTGAGATATAACCAGTTGTTGAAGGTTTTTTTTTCCAGCAGTCTTGTCTGAGGAAAAGAGAATCTGCCTTAGTGGGTAAACAAATATAATAATGAACAAATTAAAAAAAACCAGAATTGTGCAGATATTTCATCTTTTAATCTTTAAAGATTTTTTGCTGGAAGAAAAAATAAAAAGTGTAAAAACACAGAAAGTGTCATTTGAAATCACCAGCCATGTAAATGTTCTGTGATTTGGAGAGGATAATTGCACAATACTTCAATTTTTTGAATAATCTTGCTCCATTTGCTTGAATCAGGATCTGAACTTAAAATGAATTCAGTCTGAATCTTTTGAATAGTGGTAATTTCACAGAATATATATATTAATATATTCTTCATTGTTTCATGATAATGCTTCCAAGCTGATGTACATCAAATAATTAAAGCACTGGAGTGCTAGCAAATTCAAACTACAACAACTATCCATAGTGATTTGGTCTTCAGAGACAAAGAAGAAAGAGGAAATCACACAAGTTGAGTGGCAACACCCAGTAATCTTATCTGTCAACAAATGTTTCACCAAACAATAATGGATGGGATTGGATCAAGAATGAAGCATAATGTCAGTTGAAACTAAAATCAAACTATAAAATTATTACAGAGATAAGGAACAGGTTAGAAATTAAAACTTCTTGATGCATTAGTTTTTAAAATGACCAAGGCATGACCTAATGG